TATATATATTATATATATTTTTTATATATATATATATATATATATATATATATATATATATATATATATATATATATATATATATATATATATATATTAGTATTCACCCGTGCGATGCACGAGGCGACATATTTTCAACCGGAAATACATGTCTGTAACACAAATATATGCATATATCAATTATTACGCACATTGAATTTAAGTACAAAACGTCATCGACCAACTATATTAAAAATATGTTATAAGAAGTATCATGTTCTTCATAGTTACAATATAAGAATAATATTAATATTAGTATCGACAAACATAAACCTTAAAGATAATAAGATTTGCACTGAGCATCCTAGGGGCATGACTGAAAATAATATCGCACGGGGGAAAACATATAGGAAAGATAGACCTGCCAAAAAATAAGGTCTTAAATATAAAAATATGAAGAACTTATAAATATAAAAATATTTTCTACCTTCAAATTCGATGAAATACTTCATTGTACACGGCATTTCTAATAACATCGGTGAGTTCACCCGAATCCGACTTGATGAATATCTTAATGCCACCTCTGTTCTTACCTTTGGATAGTGCAACATATAGTTGATCATGGCTGAAGACAGGCCTAGGAAGATACAAACCAACATGCGAAAGAGTTTGACCTTGGCTTTAATTGATCATCATTGCAAAATAAATAATCAACGGAAATTGTCTCCTCTAAAATTTAATTGACAGTCCGGAGTTATATGGTATTAAATTCATCTGATAAATGAACACCATGTCACTGATATTTTTACCGGAAAGAAGTTTTCAATGCAGAACGTGAATGCCAATGCTAATAATTTGAAGTCTGGTCCCATTACACAATCATCTGCTTGGACCAACCTTGGACTTCAATACATGAGAAGGAACCCCCGAACATCTTATTGTGTTGAGAAATTCAGTTGAATAGATTTCTGCATTATCCTCCGTTGTTTGCTCGTCCCTACACATACTATCTGAGCTCAGGTACACCTTCTCCTCACCTGGAAGGAGAGAGATTAAGTGATCGTTCACAGACTCGACGCATTCATTAGTTGGTGCAAGAATTTCCCTCCCTTGAAAATAATCTGGATCATACATGTTACTCAACAAATCGGGATAAAAGAAGTTCAGTAGGTCTCTGAATAGATCTTCTGAATCACCTATCAGCATGTCCCCGGGAATCTCTAGCGAAGCTTCACCATCATTTTTTTCCCTAACATCCCCATTGCCAACCTTCAGTATCCAGTCCCCAAATTCTATTACCTCGTCCGCATTAGATGGAGAAGAACATGACTGCAATGTGATGTTCTTACTCAACTTCATGACACGACAGAAATGCCACAACGGAGAGGAGTTTACCGTAGAATGTACTATGTCCTGCCTTGATGCTTTGAGTACAACTGGTAAAATCTGCCTAAAATCTCCTCCAAGAACTACCACCTTACCTCCAAACGTTGTGTCTACCTGTAATATTGACTTCATTGTCTTGTCAAGCGCTTCAAAAAAGTACATATGCATCATAAGAGTCTCGCTCCGTATCATAAGCTTAGCCCTAATCAGCAACTCCACCTGTGTACTTTGTTGCGTTATGCTGCAGGTGGAAGTCTCGTGTACATTTATGGGTAGTCCAAATCGAGAATGAGCTTTTTTTCCACCGGGGAGCAATTGTTGGGAATCGGACACGTGTACGCAGCGGAAAACAAAAATTTTATGCGATTGAAACGACTTTAAAACACATAAACACATGCCCGACAAATTGAAAGCAATTAATTGCGTACCTTTGCGCTTCCAGCGAAATTAAAAACAACATACATGCTTAATTATTTAAACAAATTTAAATCAATTAACATGATCGCGTTTAAATCAAATAACATGCTCGAACATATAAATCAATTTCATGTAATCACATAAAATCATACAAGAACGAACATACATATTAGATTTAAACGTAAACGAATCAAGAACAATGAATTCGTGAGTTTACCTCTTGAAGCATGAGGTAGGAGCACTAAGCAAGACGAGATTGCTACGGAAACCAATCCGTACAATTCGGGGCAGAAGCGGTGCAGCGGCAGCAGCGGCGAGACGGGCCACGGCGGCGCGTGCAGTGTGACTCACGCGCGGTCTTCGGGCGGCGCGTGGGGTTGCGTGCGGCTTCGGCTCGTGTGCCGCTCCTCGATTCTTCGATCTTCGATCTTCCTCCTCTCGGATTTCACCTCGTATACTTCGATCTACTAAACACGTGGCACTAGACACGTAATAGTTAGAAATAACAGAAGAAAAGAAAGAGGGAAAAGAGTACCGAAAGGGATCGGCCAACGGATGGCCGATTCCGGCGACTTTCCGGCGACGGCGGCGCGGTGGCCGAGGAGAGAGGGCCGAGAGAGAGAGGGTGTGAGAGGCTAGGGTTAGGGTTTTGTGTTGTGTATATGTGTAAGACCTATAAATCTTGTATTTATAGTGTCTTTCATAAAACCTTAGCAGGCTTAAGTTGGACCGGGCCCAACAACTTAAGTTCGTTAGTACTTTTACTTGCTCGTCTCTCTCATTTCAATGATCGGAAAATTGTAACGATTGCATTTTCGGAATCATTATAAAGTCCTCCTCATTACGAGTGCCAACTCTCAATTTCCAACTTTCCAAAAGTGGAAACCCTAGTTCAGTGCACCTTCTAAATTTGGAAACTTCCCGATTTAGAAAGTCCACTACAATGTTCGCCTGTTCTTTTCCTTTTCTTATTCTCATTCATAATTCCAAATTACGAATGTTGGACCCAATCATTGACTTCCAATCATGCAAAGATAAACTATTTTATCTCTGACCGTTTATTCAAAGATCTCATGTGCACGAGCAGTCTGACCCTCGATGGTTCAGGTGTAAGCTAGCCGTGGGCCCACAACCCTTTGTGGTCAAAACTCGTCCCTTAGAGTTACGATTAAGATGAAGCTCGTTTCACCTTAATGACCCAACGAATCAAGATTGACGTCTATCAACTACGCGTCATGATTCCCTAGATACAAATGAAGTGCCGGCAAGAACCTTCAGATATAGTTAACGTACAGTACGGTCCCTTCGATTCATATGTCCCGATAGAACAAGAGGCATTGGTTCATCGAGACCTCTCTATATGTTCAATGACCGTGCGATCGTTCTAAGTGTTGTAATCGTTATGTGCATTACTTAGAGAATCGAATTCTCTAATCATCACTTAGTCAGCTCTGGCCAGAGACTTAGTATGATTACAAACTTTCAGAACACACAGGACATCCAAGACTATTCTAGCGATCGAATCCCCGACTACAATGCACAGACCTCCCACTAGATTTCGAATGGCACGAACACAGGCCCTTGGGATGGTCCACGGTGGAACTCAAGGACAGGTCACGATACAGCTGGTCCTCTAGGGAAGTCACGGTGATGTCTAGGTCATAATGACTAATGGTGTACAACTATACCATAGATATCTCTACTCGATTATTGGGAACCACTTAGAGATTTCTAGGGTGAGGGATTTCAGTGAACTCGTCAACTTACGAGCACCCACTTATGCATGCCGATTTGACAATACCGTTTACTGATGAGATGCAGTACACATACACTAAGTTCTAGTCTCTTAATGGGAAAGGCCGATATCCTCATTGGTGGCGTAACCCTTCGACTAGGAACACGTTTAACAGTTATAATACTAAAGTAAATATCTCACCATCCTAACGATCATTTACTCGTACTTGTAATAACTGTAAGGACTATATCTATGTGACAAAGGGACAAAGATATAGAATGCCAAGTTGTTTTATCATTAATACGAATAAAGGTTCGTTTATTACAATAATAAATACGAAAGACCACAGCCACAAGTTGGCTTGTTGGTCACCTACTCTAACAGCAATAGCGATGCTATACCAATCGGTGCAACATTAATTACAATCTCTCCCTTGGAACAGACTGCAGCCAAAAGAGTTTTCCAGATAGACGTCTTTTCCGTTCCACCATGACCATATAGAAAGAACATTCCACCACGGTCATTGGATACATCATCCATGACTACATAATAAACCTTTCTTTGTTCGTCTGTAATTGGGGCAAGACACCGTTGAAATTCTTTACCCATTTCAAACCGTCGTAATACAGTTCATCTAAGACCAATATGTTTATTGTGCCATCTACCGCGAATTCCATTGGAAATGGCATGGGCGCGTGATTACGTAGACTTTTACCATTACATGCAATATTTTCTCTATTTTCTCTATTCAATTAATAAATGTCCTTCACATTAATTAAACCAAATACATAAGAGAACTATTGAACAAATTAATAACATTCTTAATCTCAGTCCCTACAAATTGTATTACAACAATATACGGCCCTATACTAATATCTTGAATTCATTGAAGCATGTAGTCAGCAAACTTTCCCCACAACAAGCTACCACTTGCATATTAAAGAAAACGATCATGGATATGAAAAATACATGTAAATATATAGGAATTTAAATTACTCAATATCTTCAAGTTCAAATGGAATGTTCTGTTTGGTTCCACCCGCTAGGTGAGCCAATGGACCTATCGACAAAAGCGAACCAGTAACATCGGCAATCAATATTAACACATTGTAAGAAAACACTTTATAAATAAATGCTAAATAGAAAGAAAAAAATCATATAAATAACTAATACCTATCGCATAATCATTGTTGTTCAACGCTTGTTGGATATCTGCGTAAGATGTGAACTTAAATGGATACATTGGAATGGACGAAACGTCAACTTCTCTCACTGTAGATGTATATTCAAAAGTGACTCTATAATCATTCAATGCATGCTTGTAGGTCTTAACACTAAAAAAAAGCGGATAGGTTTGACATTACATAACATGTGTTCTCTCTCATTTAGACTCAAATTTGTATAACAATGTATATTTAATGGAAGCTTGCACGGTGTCGCCCTGCGTAATGAAGAAACGAATGTGATTATGATTTGCTAACAAATCAATTAAGACGTGTAAAAATAAATTATCACATGTTCATCAATGAACATCATCTCCATGTCTTGAAGATCTTTTAAAATAATTTGGTTGTTTCCAAATGTGCAAAACACGGATTTTGAGATTCCATGAGTTTTTTTCGCCCTCCATGTTTCTAATGACATCTACTTGCCTAGACATCTATAAATGTTTAATACACACAATCAAAAGTTTGTTAGTTAGTTAAGTCGCATAATAAAAGATGAATATACTATTACAAATCTTGTACTATATGTAACTTAATAAGAATTAAATTACAATATATTATCCATATGGAAAAGTACATTAATTCCTATACTCGAATATTGTGAAAGGAAAAAACAAAAAAATGGAATGATTATTCTCATATACTATTAAACTCACGATGCACACAAAGAGAACGATGGCCGGATGATGAAGTTTCGAGATAATAATATTATCATGCAGTTTAGACTAAACTGAAATGAACCGTGTATATATAATATGGTGAGAATTAATAATTCTTAAATTATAGTAAATGGAATACCATTATAGTTAAGAAATTATAGTTCCTAAATTATAGTAAATGGAATACAATTTGAACTTTGAAAAAACCTTATCAAATCATTTTTCTTTACTTTAAATATACCCAAAACTCAAAGTTAAGATTTTCATAAAGAGTGCTACCTAAACATCATCGGGGTTTAGAAAACACTTAAGACAACGAAAGGAAATTAAACTTGATTTAAATACCCCCGTTTAATAGACTAAATTCCTAAATCAGTGTAAAATATAATCATGAAAATCTCCATTTTTACATAAGATCTTTTTACAGGCGAAAGTGAAAACATGATCTTTTACGAAATCTGGGTAAGACATGCAAGGCATCAAGGTTCGTGATTCCTTGAACTCCGCTCCGCTGCACACTTTGATTACTTGATTACTTCGAGAACCTGAAAGGGGAAAATTCGCATAAAGCGTGAGCCCAACCACTGGCTTAGTAAGAACTTTGGCATGACGATACTCACGCCTCTCTCAATGTGTCACTCATGTCCTATAAGAGCCCTAAAGTCCTCGTCTCTATGTTCTTTCGTGTAGGGATAAGCCTAAAGCTTCTACTATGTCCTCTATATTCAATTTATTTATTTAGACCAAGACATGCGATCATATACGTGAAAGCACATAACATCACATACGAATGCAATATTTTTATTTTTTCAAACCTAAGAACCACGAAGCATGAACATTATTCATAACATATAGTCGAACGTATAGCTCTATATATAAACATATAATATTGTTTACATCAATCTTGGTATATTGGACAGACAGTCCTCTTTCGTATTATACGGATATAAAATCCTTATATTGCTCACGGACATAAAGTCCCTTTAGTATCAATTTAACACTTTACGCATATAAATGCAATGCAACAGGATCCTTATCAGAACCCCAACGTGGCCATCTAAACATCAGGTAATATACGACAACACATCAGTCACAAAAGCACATCATTTCTACATAAATCACTTTAATATGAAAAATGGCCAAAATGCACGTGAATGCAATGCATGGGAAAATATTTTCACTTTATTGGATCAGCGAAAAATTAATTTATGTACTCAAGCAATAAACTATAAAGCGTTTCAAGCCCGTTTCTATTGTGGAACAAACCACTCCTTTTGAACTTTAATTGGATACCGGCCCACCGTATCCGTTGTTTATTCTGCCAAGTAGTTCGTTAATTTTTCAAACTTTCAAGAGAATACGTGATATACATGAGACCTTAATCAATAGTGTAAAACTCGTTTTCATTTATCATGTAATCATGAAAAAAATCACTTTGTCGTTTACCATAAAAATCGTGTAAAACACATTTTCGTTTTCCCTAAAAATCGTAAAAAAAACAAATCCATTTTCAGTTATCGGATCCGTGAAAAATTAATTTCCATACTTGGCCAATAAACTGTTACGAGCCCGTTTCTTTAGTGGGATCAAACCACTCTTTAACAATATCTGGATACCGGCCCACCGTATCCCGTTTATTCACTCAAGCATTCCATTAATTTTCCTTACTTTCAAAAATCCGTGATATGCATGAACATGAATGTTGAGACCACAATTCAATCGCAAGTTTAGACATCACAATTAACGCACAAATGGGTCACAATATAATAACACAAAGATTATTAACCACATGTTATCACATAGACTAATTAAATCACACATATGACACAAATACATACATGGTTGTACACACACACACACACACACATATACTTATAATAGTATAGTTTATATTTACATAAACCATGGATCGGAGTTTTCACTCGACGACCACGTAGGTTGCTATAGAGAGATAATATAGCATAATATACATATATAAGCCATGGATCGGGAATTATTCCTACGACCACGCAAGCTAATATATATCTATATATATATATATATATATATATATATATATATATATATATATATATATATATATATATATATATATATATAATGACATATAGTATATAATATATAGCATTAACCAACAAGTTCCCAATTAATCTCAATCGTTTCCAATACTTACACACATATGACACGCACATAATGAATCTCAAACCAATATACCTAAATCAATCAAAACGTATAGATAGTAGCACATAATTAATGACTTAAATGAATACTTCATGACCATAACTATAGTTAATTCTATCCTATTAGCTTAATATTACCTTAATTCTTCTATTAACTAAGGATGAAGAATTTAAAACCATACTTCTAAACATATTTTCGAGTTCAAAATAATTCATTTTAGAAAATCTGACAGTTTCGGTATTTTAATTTTGAAAATTCATATCTCCTACAACAAACATCCAAAAAACCTGAAAGTTTCACAAAATTTTAATCTATAAGTATATTCTACCTTGTTAAAATAGTTTAGCAAGAAACTTAGCCGTTTAAGAGAAATAATTAATTTAGTGCAGTGACATAGTCAATTTTCCAAAACTGAGCAATCAAATTCAAAATACCAATTAATTCATACCCTTATCCAAACACTGTGAAATTTTGCAAACAAGGAGTTTAATAAGTCTATGATCATATCGATGTAAATCATATAAATAAAATTCGTATAAAGTGGTATTAAACACCTATTTCATAAATGACTCACAAACTGTGCAGTTTCAGAAAACGATCTATAACTTACTTAATATAAATCTTTTTTATGCATAATTTATTTCCAACTGAAGCTAACACAAATATCTAGACTACTGTAAAATTTAATAATTTTATCTTAAGTATTACCCGATGAGACATGCAATACAAACAGAGGCTACGAAACTGAAATTCAATTAGTATTCATCAAGAACTTTATCTTCTAAAGCCCAAAATTAAAACCACAAACATATAATTCATTAAAGGGTGTTACTATTTGCAGCGGGACTTTAACTGAAATTGGCTTATTTGCAGCGGTACCTTTTTCATTTTTTTTTTGAATTTCTCTCTCGTATTCCCAAACTCTCTCTAGAAATTTGAATTTTGTAAATTTTTTCGACTTTGAAACCGTAGCAAACGAGGCTCGATTCCTGTAAATTTTCAATATCCTACTACTTTGAATTAGTTTTATTTCCAATTTAGGTAAAAACACATGTTTAGAATTAGATCTAGCAAAATTTCGAAAAAAAGATAATGTTTGAAGCTCCTGTTTTCTGGAGGACAGAAACTCGAAGAAAATTCAAGTTTTCGTGCTCTGCAGAACGGGAGATTCAAATGGATTGAATTCTCCGTTCTACAGAGCACGGGAACTTGAATTTTCTTCGAGTTTCCGTGCTCTAGAAAACGGGAGCTTCAAAGTTTTTTTTTTTTTCGATTTTTTTCATGGTTCCCGTCCTCTAGGGCACGGGAAACCCATATTTCCGTCTTCCAGGGCACGGGAACTTGGTGTTCCCGTTCCCCACAGCACGAGTGTTATTTTTTTATTTTATTTTTTTTGTTTTTGAATTTCCCGTTTTGTGTAGCACGGGAAACCCAAAAAAATTGGGTTCTCGTGCTGCACAACACGAAAATACCGCAAAAAAATAGAAATTTCACTAATTTTTTTTATTTTATCTCATAGAAGTCATCTGAATCGGCCATTATGTTATTTGTTTTCCCCGGGAAGTCGATTTATCAAACAAACACGAAATTCTTTTTTTTCGACTTTTTTTAGTTGAGAGCGTTTTGAGTTTTTTAAAAAGTTGAAATGAAAGTACCGCTGCAAATAAGCCAATTTCAGTAAAAGTCCCGCTACAATTAGCAATTCAGTTCATTAAAACGCAAATAATTTATATTAATTAATTTATTATTTCAGTAAAGACCAAGGTCCTTACCCATGGAAATCAAAAATTAAGGAAGAGAGGAAGTCAAGGATCCATGGAGTTTTGGCTTTGAAATATTTGGGTTTGGCATGGGTGGTATCAGTTTTGAGAGATTATATGGTTGTTTTTTTGAGTGTATTTGGAGAATCTCGAATTTAGGGAGAGAGAGGCATTTTGAGAGGATTTTAGAAGAGAAAAAAAGAGACTTTTAGGGAGGATCTTGAAGGCTTTGAAGTGAAAGATGAATTCTTCCTTTTTGAGGATGTATTTCGATGAGAAAGAGAGGAGAAAATGAGTGATTTTTGGCTGATGTTTTTATGGTGGAAACAGTGAAGAGGAAGGGTCAATTTATAGGGGAGTAGAGGGACTTACTTGTAATATAGAAGACAAGGGGGTGTAGATAGCAATTAGGATGACTAAGACACTTGGAAACACACCACAAACCC